TGTATTTTATTTTTGTTTTATTTTTACTTTCTGTATTTTGGAAATTTCAATAAATATGATTTTAAAAAAAATAGAAATGTCTGCATAGGGGGAATCAGTTCTGGGTGACCCAAGCAAGGAAAGGGAGGTAAGAAGAGCTGGCTAGTTTCAGTTTTTGTATATATATACAGGTGATTCTCAACTTATGGTGGGGTTATGTTCCACGAATGGCATGTAAAGTCAAAATCGCACATTAGGTTTAATGCCCCCCTTTTAAAACTAATAATAATAATAATGCCAAGTGCGTAAAGCTGAACGTGCACAAGTTAAATGCACGTGTTGCAAGTTACCTCTAGTTTGGAGCAGTGCACTGCGAAGGAATGGTTGGCCCACTGAATACAGTGTATGTGATTCATTTGTAATCTTGCACCTACTACACCCCCTGGCTAGCTTGTTAAAGTTATTGACGAAAGCAAGGGGAAGGAGTGCTGGGCGATCTCATTGTCACATATAGACTCCTTCCTTTTTCCAATAGACAGTCCAGCTCATAGCTTTGAGGTTATTCATCCTTCTTCATCTGTAGGATGCAATACATTGTCTCTAGCATGAAGGTTGAATTCTGTGTAGTTTCTCATACCTGACATCCATAGGTGTTTTCTTGCAATTGGCTGGCGACTGGGAAGAGAAGCCCATAACCCTTCAGCTTCCCAAAAACCATTTGGTTTTTATTTGGCTTTTATACCATTTTATATAATATCTTTATATAAAATAAAGTCATGTTAGGGTTTTTTGGAAACACTATTTCTGGTGAAAAACTGGATACAGAAAGAGTGTTTCGGATTATGTCAGTTACGCCAAATCAACCCTGGCGATCAATGGGGCGACAGATGTCGCAGCCAGATCGCCCTCAAATCCATCTGGCACTTACCATGGATCCACGGAAGCTGTCCAATTAAAGTTCTTAAGGCAAATTTTCTCTGTACCACCCTGTGTCCCAAACGCATCATTGCACCTAGAGGCCAATCTCCCCTTGGTAGAAATACAGATCTGGCGCAGGACATTCAACTTCTGGCTCCGCCTAAACTCAAATCCCCCCCCCCGGTCTAATATCCCTAGTGCAACAAGACTGTCATATGCCTGGTCTAAAATTGTCTATCAAAATCTGCACTCCTGTGGTTTATCCCCACAAAAGCTACTCACCATGGGTTAAGGCAGCCCTGTTCAGGGAAGTTTTTAACGTGTGATATTTTACTGTATTTGTGGTTTTTATGGAAGCCGCCCAGAGTGGCTGGGGAAGCCCAGCCAGATGGGCAGGGTATAAATAATAAATTATTATTATTATTATTATTATTATTATTATTATTATTATTACAGCAAAGCAAACAGTCTAATTTGCCAATGCCTAAATGATATCGAGTGTCAGAACAACTTGGCCACCATAAGGAAATTTTGCCCATGGTATGATCATTTTCCACCCTCCCACTTTGACTGCCTGGCACCCTATCTGTATAATCTAGCAATTCCAAAATATAGACGCGCCTTCACCCTCACAAGACTGAATGTACTGCCCTTGGCTGTACTTGGGGGATGATTCCAATAGATTCCATATGAAAAACGCTTATGTCCCTGTGGAGATGGCGGCACCGAATCAGTGGCGTATGCCCTCCTCACGTGCACTCTCTACAAAGACCTGAGGAACGAAATTATCACGCCTCTTTTATTGACCATTCGGGTCACCCAACCACTGCCATAGTGTTGTTTCTCCTGGCAGATCAAGAGGAGCAGATGACTGCAAAGGTTGCAAGGTTTCTAGCTGGGGCAATCAGAATAAGGTCCACTATTTGACTGCTGATTCAGAACCCTAAACTGTGTTTTATATAAGTGACTTTTTATTTTGTTCTGTGTATATCACAATGTTTTTTTGTTGTGATGGCCGATGGCTGACGCAAATAGAGTTTCATTCATTCATGTCTATTATGCCGTCAATGGACTGGATGCTTGCATTTGTAGCGAGGATGGCTTTTCAACAATCACATCCAATTTTTTCCTTTCAAAGAGAGAAAGGCAGCAAACCATTTTAGTCCGGTCCATAAGAACTTGTATTGAATTCAGTGGGCTTACTTCCAGGTAAGGGAGGCAAGAACTGCCGCCTTAAAATGCTACTCAGGAGTCTTTCGAGATCTATGTTTCAAAACAAACCATCAACACCCACCACTTAAGACAATTCAAGTGCCTGTATGTTCATTCTCCCTGCTCCAAGAGCTTTGCTCATTGAGCTTTTCAATGGATGTTGCAACCACTCCAGCCATTGGGCAATTAATTCTCAGTCATAATGTCCAGTTACAAAAAAATGGACTAGCCTTCTTTTGGTATTTATCTCAATAAAGCACTGTAATCAACTGACTCATTAACGCAGAAAATATTTTAATTTTGAGGCCTCTGCTCGGAAAAATGCTCGTTGCATCTAAATTCCCTTTTGAGCAGCTGCCACTTCAGATGTCCCTATGGCATCATGGTTGTGTTTACTTAATGTGTTTCTTTGGGCAGCTGTCATGCAAGGCTGCTGAACATCCTGTTTCTGCAAAAGGTAGCTTCATATGGCAAATTATAGTGAGCCGGGGAGGGAGGAGGGAGGTTGGCTTGTTCCAAACTCAGGCAGGAATCAAATGGCTCAGGGACAAGTGGCTCAGAACATGGAGGAAATAAATAGGGCTTTCTGGGGTTTCCCCCCCCCAATTGGAAGTGTGAAAAAGTGTACACTTTCATAAAGCATGAAAAACTCTTCTACTAGATCCACTTCTCATTTAGAATATGAAAGCCCATATTTGAAGCCCCAATCAACGGACACATGAAGCTTAATGGCAGAGGCTTCAATTGCCCAGGCCCCACAATAGCCTTGAGGAGTTTAATTCGCTTTCAAGGTGGCCATCATCACGAATCAGAGTTATCAAATTACTTGTCACTCCGGAGGACAATAGGCTCTTGATTCAGGTGGGATGAAATGTGGAGCAAGGTCAGCATTTGCCAGGCTAGGGGGCAGAGAAGGCATCTTTGTGTTGTGTGCCTGCCACTTTCCCTGCACAGTGTGTTTCACTGACCTTTCTACTGAATGGTTTGTTCATTTTAAAAGAAATTGCATCCCACTTTACTAAGCCAATTGAAGCAACTCACATCAACGTAGCAGACAGAGTTTTTAAATGCTAGGACATTATTTTGTTAAGAAAATGAAAATAGCAAGGACAATAGCCCTGTGCTCGGCTTCAGCTGGGGAGGGTGGGATATAAATAAATTTTATTATTATTATTATTAATATATTTCCAGAGACCCAACGCCTGACATTATTAAAGTGGGCTGGGGAGGTTTATTGATTTCAGGGGTCCTTGAGTGTGTTTGGAGGAAGAGAATCTCCTGAGGGTGTCCCAAACAAAAGAAGCCAATCTCAGCTTGTTCCTGTATCTCAGCTTTGTCCAAATTGTCCAAATTATCTCCACTTCACTTAAAGTGGTGGAAGTAGAGGGTACAGCCCAGCCTCCCTCTTCATATCTAAATGCCAAGTCGCCTCAGTTTGGAGTTGTACAGGTGTAGGGAAAAGGCCTATACAAGAGCCAGAAGGTCTCGCATTTTGTCAAAGCAAGTCACTCTAGAAGCAGTTTCACAAGTGATGCTTAAAAGTGGGCGGAAGAGGAGAGTCATTTGTTCATTTGACTTTTCCTGGCGCAGAATTAAAAAAAACTGCCCTGGCAACAATGAACATTTTATTTGATTTCATTTTAAAACAAAAAACAAAAACAAAAAAACGTATCCCTCTGTCTCATGCATCAGAATTATGATGGTTCCAACTTTTTCAGACAAAAACATTGGATCAAAAAAGAAGGGGAAATATCCCGACCTAGGTTTGTTATTCACATGTAACAATGAGAAAATCATCATCAGGTAATGCGAACTGAATTTTCAAGTTTGGGAAATGGGACATGGATGGGAAATGGAGGGACACTGTGGCTTAGGGTGGCACCATTGGGAAGGATCCTCCCTCCCCCCCAAAACAGATACCAGCCTCAGAAAGCTCATTTTCCTGGCAGGGGACAAAAGGGTTAACTTTTCTCCTCCAGGCCTGCTTTGTTCTCATTAATTATCTCCACCCCACCCACTGATGCACTGCTTGCCTATAGTACACATTCTTATATGTTTAATATTAGCTGCCTGTTCTCTGCATATACATTTCATGTTTCTTAAAACAGCCACCACATAACGAGATACTTACAACAATGCTTACAACTCTATAAAGATATGTATGTTTTGACATCATTATAAAATTATACTGCAGATATACAGCATGAAGAGAAAGCTTTTGCACTCAGGTCTGACCTATGGGCTTTCTGGAGGCAACTGGTTGGCTGTGGTGAGCAGGGGCATAGGAAGAGGGGTGCGGGGTGTGTGTCTTCCTTGAGGAGGTTGACAAAATGCACATTGTGGGGGGGCGGCACTTACCGCGGGGCCTGGCCTGCAGTGCGACCGAGCCACATGTCTCTCCTGGGAGTGACACGGTGGCTCGGGGCTCCGCGCTGCTCGAAACTGCAGCGTGGGGCTTGCGACTCCATGGGCAGCTCTCTGCGGTGCCCCCCTGGGCAGATCTCCACAGTGCCCCCGTGGGCGGATCGTCATGGCACCCCCGTGGACAGATCGCCCGACCCCCATTGGTGGATCAGCTCGCCCCCATGGGCAGATCGCCCCGTCCCTGCTGCTCCAGGTGCCAGAGCAGCTATCTATGCCCCTGGCAGTGAGAACAGGATGCTGGACTGCATAAGCCATTGGCCTGATCCAGCAGGAAGAAGAAGAACAGGAGTTTGCATTTGATATCTGGCTTTATCACTACCCGAAGGAATCTCAAAGTGGCTAACATTCTCCTTTCCCTTCCTCCCCCACAACAAACACTCTGTGAGGTGAGTGGGGCTGAGAGACTTCAAAGAAGAGTGACTGGCCCAAGGTCACCCAGCAGCTGCATGTGGAGGAGCGGAGGAGCAAACCCGGTTCCCCAGATTACGAATCTACCGCTCTTAACCACTACACCACACTGGCTCTCACACAGGATCTTCTTATGTTCTTCTCCACTTCTCCCTCACTGCAGTGTTTCTCTTTGACCTCCTCTCACTGCTTAATAAAATCCACACAACTCTTTTTCCATTCATTTCCTACCCTACTCTAATTCTAGCCAGTGGTGTGTGGTATATGACTAAGAACCTGCTTGACCAGGGTTCAAATCCCCACTCAGCCACGAAGCTCACTGGGTGACCGTGGACCAGTCTCTGCCTCTCAGCCTAATGTATTTCACAGGGTTGCTGTGGGGATTAAATGATGAGAAGGAGAACCACGTACACTGCCTTGAGGAAAAGCGGGGTGCGTAGGAAATAAATAAATAAATAAATAAATAAATAAATAAATAAATAAGGAATCCACCATTTGCAAAGCAGCAACAGTACTTGAAAGCAAGCTATATTGCGATAGGAAAGAAATTGTGTGCTGTTTGCCTTCATTCATATAATTAATTCTGGCTGCAAGTTTTATGTGGCATCAATTGGTTTTCATTAAACTTAGCATCCGATACCCCTTGCACATGCTCACATGTTAATTACAGTACAAAGAGAAACTTTTGACATTCATCACGAAAGAGGCCACAGCAAGTGGGAAAAGCCCATATTTACAGCACCACGCTAGCCACGATGCAATTGGTGGCTGGTCCTATTTTTTTCCTTGGCCAGGCGAACATTTTCTTCAGCTCCCCCCTGAAGCTGTCATGCAGCCAGGCATAAAGGAATGCATTTGTGCAGGCAGACATCATAGCAAACCAGTGGCAAAGCAGCTGGATGAGATTGAAATACTGCTTGTCTATCAGCTTGATATCGATGTCCTTGATCACATTAAAGATGTGCAAAGGCAGCCAGCAAACCCCGAAAGCAACCACCACCAGGACCAGCAGGCGAAAGGTCTTCCTCCTCCGGGCTCGGTCGCACTCCGCTTGGTTCTGGGTGACGTTGCCAGGGACAACTCTGTTTTTCAGCTTGACGGATATCCTCAGGTAGGAGACAGAGATGACTGCCAAGGGCAGGACGTAGGTGAAAATGAGGGTGTTGTAGGCATAAGCTAAGCGATCTCTCTTCCTGTCAAACCAAAATTCTTCGCAGATGGAGAAGTCCAGCTCTGGAAACTCGGCATAGTACGTGCGCAGCAGGGCTGGGGCAGCCAGCACACAGCTCAGCAGCCAAATGCCAGCCAGGATATAGGTGCAGATTGGTATCGTGAGCCTCCTGCGGAGGGGATACACCATGGTGTAGTATCTGTCCACGGCAATGACAGTCAGGGTGAAGACAGACACAAACACCGTGACCGGCTGCATCAGGAACACAAAGTAACACATGAAGTGCCCGTAGACCCAGCCTCGGGGCTCAAAGGCATACGCCAGGGTCAGGGGGACACAGGTGGCACACATGAGCATGTCCGAAAAGGCCAGGTTGCCTACCAGGAAGTTGGTGACATTGTGCATCTTTTTGGTCTTGCAGATAACGTAGATGAGGAGGTAATTCCCAATGATGCCCACGAAAACCACAAGGGAGTAGCAAGGGATGATAAGCGGCTTGAAGAACTGAACCAGCTGGAGCCCCAGGAAGAGATTGCTGGTGTTGCTGTGGGTTGCTGAAAGAAAGCTCTGGGAAGTCAGATTCTCCAGATTCATTGTCTTTTTCCTTTGCAGTTTTGGGTCGACTAGAGCACAAGCATACACGCACTCACACTCATTCACTTTGGGTCAGCTTGAATGAATAATAGAGTTGCCCCCATAGGGAATATATGCTCATCTGCAAAAGAAAAGAAAAAGCCTTGACAGCTGGGTGTGTTTTCTTTTTCTCCCAAGTGCAATTCGATTACTGATGTTCTCTCTTTCATTGCACATTAACCCAGTAACTTCATAAGCATGCGGTTTAATAGGTAAAAAAATGAGGGTACTTACAGCTGTTGTCTCCAGAAGTCATTTGATTTTCTCGTACATGTCAGTTTGCAACTACGGCTTCCGATTTATCTCCCCCGCGAATCCATGGCCAGCAGAAAGTGTGTGCATGTGCATGTGTATGAAAGAGAGAGAGAGAGAGAGAGAGAGAGAGAGAGAGAGAGAGAGAGAGAGAGAGAGAGTGCAAGTGAGCTGTGTGATATATCATAAAGCTAGAGAGCAATGCTTTTAGCAGCTTTCAGTACTTACTCATCACACATTTCTGCAGGGTATATCCCCATTGGCCAGCCACAGCATTACGTTGTTCCTTACGTGCCATCATTCAATCAGTTATAGTTTGTGAAGTCCAAGTTTTTCTCCTCATCCTCTGGTGCATTATCATTTTACAAAAAATAAATAGACCTGCTGACTTTAAATGAGTGGAAATAATACTAAAAGGCTGAAGAGCTATCAATGCCGCTACCACTAGAGGGACTCAGCTACATGAAAGTTGGAAAATCTGGTCTGTGGATCATGAATATTGAAGAATATTTAATTATGAGTGAGTGTCAGTTTCTCTCATTACTAGGCATTCCGTAAAACCAGAATTCTAACCTCTGGGTTGTTTTCATATATTCAGCCCAGCTGTAGTGCAAAAGAAAATAAGCAAAGTATATTTTGAATCTGATGGCTTGACAGTTCTCAAAGTGGGATGACATTTTTGGTTTCAAAAGATGTTTGGTTGCATCGTGCTAGGGAGTCTGGTAGTTCATTTATTCCTTATTTAGTATTTCAGCATTTAGGGATTGTCCACCCTTCCTTTTACTCCATGCTTTCCAGGCACGACCCATGCTTAAAGTTCAGTGTCTCAGCACTTTTTTGTTGTTCCGGAGTGTTCCCCATGAAAAACCCACTCTCTGCTGCTGATCTGGAGCAAACAGTAACTTCTGGAAAACCTGAATTGCAGTTTATTGTGCTTCAGCTTTAAAGAGAGGAGTTTTCATGCGGAAAGCTATAGGGCAGGGGGGGAGAGAGCTTGGACAAAGAGCTGTAAAGCCCAGGTCAGTGCCTGGAAAGTATGAGGCAAAACTTAACTGTGGATTATTTTGACTTTTGTATTCACACTGTTACTCTTTCTGCCTGTTATCCATTGCTATCATTCTTTTGTCTGAAAATGATCCCCGTAAAAGACTTCCAGATCAAATGATCCCAATAGAATACTTTGCCCCCTCCCCTGTAGAACAAAGGGGGGAAATGTGTTTTAATGTCTGATTGTTTTTACCAAGTGATAAACCATGGCCACGATGTCTTTCTGCAATCTCACAGATATTATAATTATCAAAGTAAGTCCTCCCTGTGATGGCCTGGGAATCAGATTCAGAGGCTGAACCTGAGGAATCCCAGCCTGCACAGGAGTCCCCGCCTCCAGGACCGGCTGAGCCGGGGCTGGGGCTTGAACCTGAAGAGCCCTCACCTGTCCCGGATCCTCAGGAGCAGACACCAGCTGAATCTGCTCTGGCTCCAGAGGTGATCAAGGACCCATTGCCTGCAGGTGCTCCACTCTCAGCCCCGTCAGGGGAAGGTGAGGTTGCCTCTGGGTCCAGTAATCCTCCAGCCTCTCCTGAGCTGCAGAGGCTCAGGGCAGAGAGGCGGAGGGAACTAAGTTCCCACAGGAGGAGTGCTTGCCTCCAGGCCAGGAGAGGCGAGTCACCTGTGGACTGGGGTCGCCCTATGCCTCGGGGCAGATAAAAGCCAGTCAGCCCCAGCCCCAGGTTGCAGGAGCAACATTGTTGGTAGCCTGTTCCTGCCTGCACCCTGTCCTGCTCTTCTGCCAGAGTTCCTGACCTCACCTGACTCCTTGCCTTGGACCCCATTTCAGCCTTGATGGACAGCCCCCATACCACACCCCTGACCTCGGACTGGACTTGGATCATGCCGCACTGTAACCCCCGGGACCAGCACACTCCCATTTTCTCCCACCTCTTCTTGTTTTGTATTTGGTATCTCGGGGCATGAATGAATCAAGATCAACAGTAGACGCCACCATATCAGCACAACGTTGGGTGGATTACTACGCTGAACTTTTTGGAGAACTGACAGGGCAATCACCCGATGCTGAGGTGATCATTGATCAGTCAAATTTTCCAGAGTGGCAAGGGGTGACCCCTGCAGGGATAAAATCTCTGATAGAGAGCTTAAAACTAAATAAAGCACCAGGTGAAGACATGATGCCACCAGAGCTAATTTATGACACATATGGACTGGTGGCAACCCATCTTGGCTAAGCTCTACACCTACATAAACAATACAGCTCAAATGCCAGCTGGTTGGAAATTGAACATCATCATGCCAATCCAGAAAAAAGGAGATAAAACCCTCCCCCAAAACTACCCCCCATTAGCCTGCTGGATATCCCCTCCAAACTCTATGCTCGTCATCTGCTCACCAAAGTACTTAGATGGCCATGCCATTATTTGCTTTACAAAATAGGGGGAAAAAACAAGAACCAGTAATTTGATTTATTGTAGTTCAGAGTTCACCTTATAATCCCATGCCCATGGACACAATACTAAACAGCTCAGATCACAAAGGGAGTTGCCTTTTAGTCTTTGTCTACCAAAGTTAATGGAGTGAGGTTGTAAACAAAGCTCTCCTGAAATGAAAATAAACAGTCTGGAGGCTGGAATGCAGGCTGTGGAGATAGAGAGACATTTTCTTATATGTCTGCCTGGATTATTTCATATTTTCTAAGATGCTGAGCCTGTGCTGGGCAGCACAAGACATTGTATGGATATTTTGGCTCTAACATTTGATATATTCTGTTTTATTTTAAAGAGTTATGCCAGACAGAGCCATCTTTCCCATTGGGTTTACTGGCGCGTTGCACCAGGGCACCATCCTCTCAGGGCGCACCCCAGCGAGTTGGAGAGCTGTGTGGCTTTGCCGGCGGCCTTCCCTTTCTCTCCTGCACTCCCTCCAGCTGCACCCTGTCAACCATAAGGCTGGCGGATGTGCAGCTTCCTTCCCAAGCCCCCGCGGGAGGAGAGCGATTCCCGCAGAGGCTTGGGAAAAGATCGCCAACTCTGGGAAACAGGGGGTGGGGCACTGGAGGAATCTTTGCACCACGGCATCAGATATGTTTAAGATGGCGCTGCTGCCAGTAAAAGTTTGGATAACATTTTTATGGATAATACATTTATTTCAAAAGAAGTCCATTCTTATGTTTCCAGTCGCTTCAAACTGAGCAATATTAATACATATCTGCAACACCCACATCCTCCCTTACCTCTGTGTTTTTTTCCAGGCTGACATTTACAGCGAATCGAGCAAACTGAAAATTAAACAAGCAAACACCCACAAACTTTGCCTGTCCATGTGCAGGACGCAAGTGGAGGAAGACTTGTGAAGAATCCAGTTGAATACTTGTATGAATTATTGAGCTTTTTCAGTGGCTTATGGCCTTTTAAACATGATGCAGTAGGTTCAGTGGTGGCCTGCTAGGAGAGGTTTTTGTTGTGAGGCATTTTGAGGGTAAAATTGCTTGCAGCCAATTATGGTAGGCCAGTCCATGAAGCTGCCCAGAGCATTGGCTGGTTGTATATTACTGAATTATCTTTGTTTGTGAGGCCCACAAATGTGGGCAAGGTGCTTTATCAGGTTCATGGAACCACATGTTCAGTGGATCCTTGCCTTTCACAACTTATAGCCTCTAGTAGGGAGAAAATGAATGAACAGGTCCAGAAGTCCTTTTAGAGAGAAAGTGGTCCTGACATTGTTAAAGGACGTGCTAGTGCACCCACTGTGTGGATTTCCAGCAGCTCACAAATCTTGTGAAAGAGTTTTGACTCAAAACTTGCATTCTGGTCTGTATGCATCTGGGTGTGCCATGCATACAATGCATTTCTCAACAAAAACCAGGACACATCAATGGTTTCCTGGTCTGGAAGGACAAAGGCCTCAGTCCATTTGGAGTAGTCAATGACTACTAAAACATTTTGTTGTTGTTTAGTCGTTTAGTCGTGTCCGACTCTTCGTGACCCCATGGACCAGAGCACGCCAGGCACCTCTGTCCTCCACTACCTCCCGCAGTTTGGTCAAACTCATGCTGGTAACCTCGAAAACACTATCCTCTTTTTTTTTTAAAGATATTTATTAGAATTTTACGAAATGAAAAAAGAAAAATACAAAATAAAAATAGTTAAAAAAAACAATTCCATCTTTCCATCACTTATCTTTCATTTGCTTGTTTCCCGGACCTCCTCACACCTCTCTTTTTGTATTCCCATTCAATTTGTTAGTTCAGCAAATCCTTCCCCTCTTGTTTATCCTAATCTTTAATCTTAAAATATTGTAACATTAAATTTTTGTCTGTTAATAATCCATTTTTTCATACTCCTTATAGCGTTATAGCTAAAAACCACATAACTTTTCATCCAACATCATTCTAACATTCATTAATTTTACAATATTTCTGTAGGTAGTCTTTAAATTTCTTCCAATCTTCTTCCACCGACTCTTCTCCCTGGTCTCTGATTCTGCCGGTCATTTCTGCCAGTTCCATGTAGTCCATCACCTTCATCTGCCACCTCGAAAACACTATCCAACCACCTCGTCCTCTGTCGCCCCCTTCTCCTTGTGCCCTCCATCTTTCCCAGCATCAGTGTCTTCTCCAGGGAGTCTTCTCTTCTCATGAGGTGGCCAAAGTACTGGAGCCTCAGCTTCACGATCTGTCCTTCCAGTGAGCACTCAGGGCTGATTTCCTTAAGAATGGATGCGTTTGATCTTCTTGCAGTCCATGGGACTCTCAATAGTCTTCTCCAGCATCATAATTCAAAAGCATCAATTCTTCGGCGATCAGCCTTCTTTATGGTCCAGCTCTCACTTCCATACATCACTACTGGGAAAACCATGGCTTTAACTATACGGACCTTTGTTGGCAAGGTGACGTCTCTACTTCTCAAGATGCTGTCTAGGCCTATCATTGCCCTTCTCCCAAGAAGCAGGCGTCTTTTAATTTCGTGGCTGCTGTCACCATCTGCAGTGATCTGCAGTGCCGTGGCGAAGGGGCTTGAAGAACTCAGAGAAGCTATGAACTACGCCGAGCAGGGCACACAAGATAAACAGGTCATAGTGGAGAGTTTTGACCAAACGTGATCCACCTGGAGGAGGAACCGGCAAGCCACTCCAGTATCCTTGCCAAGAAAACTCCATGGACAAAGACTAAAACATAATGCAGGTAAAATAGCTGTTCAGGGCTTTTTCTCTCTTGAATTCTTTATATAAATTAAAACTTAATACAAAATGGTTGCCCGATTCAAACTCGTGG